ATTCTGAGTTGTCTTTCTCCTTAGTCTACTCAGCCTCCAAGGGTCCTCCAGCTGGAAGCTTGTCTCTGACTCTGTTTCTAGGGGAATCAGAATGAAGACATACAGGAAAGAGCATCATAACAGTTATGTCTGTTGTGTGAGGGAGAGGGCAGTGGTCACTCAGATGATAGCTTTAATAATATTGTTGTGAGCTCTTTGAGGCTGACAGCACATCTCATAGATATCAACCATGCGATCTGCCCCATCCTGGGAACCAGATGTGGGGGAAGGGAGAACAGGGAAAGAATGGATAGACAGTGCTACCCTGAAACGGGAGAGGGACCATCTGAACGGAATGAATGATTAGACATTGTGTGAGCAGCAATTGACCATTTAGAACAAGACATCCATTGTTGTTGTTGTTATTGTTTTGTGCCATTGAGTCACCTGCAACTCATACATAGTGACCCTACGTACAACAACTCTGAAGCCGGCTCTGTCCTGAGCCAATCATTGACTCTGACACACCAACCTCCATTGCTCCAGTTACTGCATCAACATCAATCCACCTCATCTGGGGTCTTCTTCTCCTGCACTGTCCCTCCATCCTTCTGAACATGATGTCCCTCTCCAAGGAATGGTCCTTCCTGGCCATGTACCCAAAGTATGTGAGATGGAGCTTCAAAATCCTTGGCTCCAGGGAGCAGCCTGGTTCCACCCCCTTCAGGACAGACCTGTTTGTTCTCCTGGTGGTCCGTTACACAGTCAGTTGGGGGATTAAAGAATGAACGAAAATTCATCTTTTCTGTAACTTCCCACTGCAATCACAATAAAAATACAGAATAGACCTTCCTATTGCCACCTGTATCGAGTACAGAATCCCACAAGTGTTCAGACTGGGACAGCCCCAGGCAGTAGGAACTACTTGGCGCCTGAATGGAGGAGGCCTGCGGCGGGCCAGCTTTTTAGGCTCTTTAAGACAGATTGGAAGCAGCAACTAAGGAGGAGGCCAGAGGAGCACTGGGAATTGGGCACGATGCCCAGAAGGCGATCCCTGTGTGATAGTTAGTGCTACGCGCCAGCTCGGAGAGGCTATGGTTCTCCAGTCCATAAATAGATGTCCTGGCCAAGTTTGCTCTCGCTCTCTCTCAACCCTATCCTCTTCTCATCACCCGATCCCCACTTTTTTCTTTTAATTTTTTCCCCATTCTACCCCCAGTTTGCTTTTTTTTTTGAGAAGAAAAAAAAATTCTTTCATTGTTCTACAGCTCCCCCAGCCAGTCCACTTTACTATGCAGCTCTTACTCTGGATTCATGTCATGCAAATAATACCTAATCATATATCCCTTTTAAACAGTTCTCTCCCTTATCTGCTTCAATGCAGCGTACATTATTTAACCCCTCTTTTCTTAGTTTTCCTCTAAACTCGATGTCAGTCCTGTTTTATAACAGTGGCATTATGCACTATTTATCCTTTTTGTTTGAGATATGTCACTCAACATGATGTCCTCCAGGGTCATCCATTTAGTATGACATTTCGTGAGTTCCTTGTTTTTCAAGGCTGTGTAGTAGTCCATTATGTGAACAGTTTTTCTATTTGTTTGTTTGTTGATGGGCATTTGGGTTGTTTCCAACTCTTTGCTATTGTGAACAAAACAGCAATAAACACGGGTGTGCCATACATCTACTTGGGTGGCAGTTCTGGTTTCTTTAGGGCATATTCCCAGTAGTGGAATTGCTGGGTCAGACGCTCTTTCTATTTCCAACTTTTTGAGACAGCGCTATTCAGCCTTCCACAGTGGTTGCACCATGATCCCCACTTCTTGGGATGTAAGGCTGCCGAAGACTCCAGCTTGCACACGAATGGTGACTGAATAAGTGTATGGCCATGTATGTGTGTGTATAGGCACACGTGTGTGGATAAGTGCAGGTACATGCATGTGTATGTGCAGAGAGGAATATTTATGTGTACACACAGGTATGTGTGAGAATACACAAAGATAACAGCACTTACAGATGCTTCTCAGAGCTAACCAAATATCTTTGCAAGATTAATTTTCTAAATCTAAAGGTTTAGGATTTTAGTTGCAGGGGACACCACCATCAACTGGCATAAAAAGACCCACAAAGTTCACGCTCTGCATCCTAGTGACTTGAGCAGCATGTGGGTCTTAGAAACTTGTCAACAGCCCTCTGAGATACAACTATTCACCTCTATTCAGGGGTAAGAGAGGGGAAAAAGGAAAGCAAAATTCCACAAGAAACTAGTTGGCAGGGTCAAAACCTGCCTGAGCCATGGCCTCGTCCACTCTGGGGCCAGAAGAACCAGCTGAGAACCAGAGAGCTGCCAGTTCTAATCAATCAAGGTCACAGTGGACCTCGATAGGACAGGAGGAAGAGGTAGAACCGAATTCAGATCCTTAAAAGGCCCCGACTTAGAAATGAGAACCACAGAGAGGAAGTGGGAGGGGTTTGGATCCAATGTGGGTTTTGTAACTAATATCATAAAATAAACTGTATGCTGCTAGTGGGACTGTAAAATAGTACAACCACTCTGGAAGGCACTTTGACGTTTCCTCAAAAAACTCAACAAAGAAATTCCATATAACCCAGCTATTCCACTGCTAGGAAGATGCCCTGAGAAATTAGAACTGAGACACAAATGGAGATTTGTACACCAATGTTCATAGCAGCATTATTTACCATTTCAAGAACAAAGAAACAGCCCAAATGTCCAACCACAACTGAGTGGATTGAGAAATTGTGGTACACTCACACAATGGAATACTATGCAGCACTCAGGAGCAATGATTTCGGAAAATACTACATAACTTGAGAGAGACTGAAGGGCAGTATGCTGAGTGAACTAACCCAGTCACTTAAGGACAAATACTACAAAGATCACTGTTGTAAAAATAAAAGGATAATTAGTAAAACATGTATGGGAACCCAAGGGCAAACGGGTGGGAGCAGAAGGGTGAAGATGGGTAGGAGTGAAGTCACAGGGCTGCACAATTTGTTCGGTGGAAGAAGGGGGTAAAAGAAATGGGAAAGATCTGGCAGGGACCTGAAAAGACAGGGTAATGATGAGCACAATCCAATGGTGATTGATTTTATAAAACATAATGAATGAGAATAATTGTATGAAACACAATGTGAATGAAGAGTAGTGTGAAACATAATGGATATGAACTTTGTAAGCAAACCAATATAAAATAAAACTTAGGAAACAGTGTATGGATGGTCAAATTGGAAACCAACCTGCTTTGCCAATTTTCACCTAAATCACAATAGAGAAATTTTTGTTCTTTTTAAAGTTGAGGCCTACTGGGCCAGTTGAGACTAGAGGATTGTCACACACAGAAAAGATAGCTGTGAGTATGTTTTCATAGGCCCTTGAGTCGTATGACTCGGATCTGACCCTCCAGTGGATTTTAAGAGGCTATAAAAAGTACAAGAAGAGGTTGCTCAGCTTTCTCCCTCAGAGTTGCTGGTGGGTTCGAACTGCTGGAGAGGAACAGCCCTCGGGTGAGTGTTTTGATGATGGATTCAGCAAAGAGAGTGAATGGGCCTGAGAATCTTGCCTCTTCACCCCTTCTCCTCTCAAACTCTGAGATGGCTTAGCCAGAAAGTTTCTAGGTCTGCAGAGGAGAGGGTGGTTTGAGACATGGCCCAGATAAGCTACCTATCTAGACAGGTAAAGCTCGCTATGTGGGGCTGGACCACTCTTCTCAGCCTCTGTTCACTCGGTAGGGGGTGTATTTAGTTTGCTCTGGCTACTCCCTAGTACTGTCATTCTGACAACACCCACTTCGGCCCTGGTCAGACAAACACGGCACTCAGGCCTCCTCAGCAGCCACGGTCCTAGAGCTTCAAGGTCGAGTCCAGTGCCTGGGTCCTCAGGACTGAGGCCCATCCCACCCCTGCCCCCACAGTACCCCGAACTCAGTACAAGCAGGCTGCCCAGATTTGGAAGGCTCCCCCAAGAGCTGCAGGACACTGAGAGCTACAGGCCCAAGCCAATGAAGCAAGCAAGAGAAACCAAGTGGCCACCCGCATCTGTTTATTCTGATTTCTCCAAACTCTGAAGAGCAGAGCATGAGGCTATCTGCGGGGTCAACTTGACCTATTCCATCCAAACTGAGTCAAGCATGTGGCCATGAGCTATCCAATGGTGAGCATAGACCCAGAACTCAGGGGGCTCAACACCCCTTCTTCTGCACCCTCCAGATGTAAAGACCCCACTGGCAGTCTTGACGTGGCGGGCATGAATGTGCAGGATTCAAGAGTGGCCACGTGGCCGTGGGATGCTCCACGGGAGCCTAGGCAGGCCTCCTGAGGCCACTGGGCGCCACCCTTTGCCATGGGGAGAAGTTGGGAGGCTAGGGTTATCGAGATGGATCAGATGCAAACAGGACCTTGCTAGGCCACCTCTCCCTGAGCGGTTCAATCCCTTGCTCCCCTCCCCTGATGGCCCTGGTCTGTATGAGATCCATCTCTTCTAGAGGAATCAACCGGGTGAGTGAGGCCCACCATCCCAGCCCCTCCCCCAGGATGCTCTCCTGCCAAGAGCACCATCAGCACAGTGCTGGGCCTTCTGACCAGCCTGGAATGAGGGAGGTGAGGAAAGCCTGTGGGGCTAGTGGGGCCTTGGGCATAGGGAGAAAGGCCGGTCCAGTTCAGGCCCAGGGGTCGAGGTTGGCCCACAGTCCTGGCCCTGCATTTGTCTGTGCCCGTCCGGAAAATGAATGTGAATCCTGGAGGAACTTCCAGTTCAGGCTCAGCGGAGGCCACACCTGCAGACCTGCTGGGGAGAGGAAGAGAAGGCGGTGGAGGAAGGTTGGCTGGGGGGAGACAGGAAGCCATGTCTTCTCCATCCGTTTAACTGGAACCACCAGGATGGACTGTGTGGCCCAGTTGTCTAAATGGACCCAGGAGACGGAGACTTGGACCACAGCTCCCATCTCTGCTGAGATAGAGGACTGGGAAGGTGGCAAGATGCAATCAGAGACCTACTGTGATTAAGAGTATGCCAGTCCCTGAAGTCCCCGGGCTGGGGAGTGGAACTTGTCAGAATCTTCAAAAGGCTGGTCTGTGGAAACCAAGGAGAGAGAAGCCATAAGCCACGTGCAGCCTGGGGGTCTTCCCTGCCTGGTCCTCTCTGGGCTGGCGCTGGTTAGCAGTGTGTAGAGCACTTTCTAGCGGAATGCCATTAGGAACGTTGGAGGTAGTGAGCCACTCCGGCCCTGGCCTGGGGCCCTAACTGCAGATTGAGAGGTGTCCCTCAGTCCTCTCAGGAGGCTCAGCCCCAGGCTTATGGGTCTGTATCCTTTGTTTCCCTAGTCAAGTAGTAAACTGATGACCATCCCAAGCTGTGACATCCAAGACAGTGGTGTGTAGATGGACCGCACGAGGACTCCCACCGGGCTCCCTGCTCTGGACTCTGCATGTTCTTCATGGGGAACTGGTCAAACAGCAGGAGTCCCATCCCCATCCTTCTCCTAGCTCGGCTGCTCTGGTCTCCGCGAGGGGGCATTCTGGGCCTCTCACCTGGAAGTCCCTCTCCATGCGCTCTGGGGCAGCCCTGGGGCGGCGAGCCGGGTGGGCGCAGCACAGGGGCGAAGGCGCTCCTCTGTTTGACAGCGGAGATCATGTTGACGGGCGAGAAGGAGAAGACGCTGGTGGTGGGGGCAGCGGCCGGGAGGGACATGGAGGAGGCAGCGGCCAGCGGGGGGCTAGAGGGCATGACTCCGGGGCGGGGCGGGGAGGGGCAGGGAGGATGGTGGGAGACACAAAAGGGAAACAGCACCAGAGTGAGCCCTTCAGCGGGGCCTTGGCACCGGGCTCGGGCCTCCCTGGGCGCTGGGAGAAAGCTGGGGAGCCCAGGACCAGGTGTGGAGGCAGCCTGGGAGCCTCGGGGGTTCCGGGGGGGGGGTGGGTGGGGAGGGTTGTCCTGTGCCAGCCCTCACCTTCTTGGGGGTTCTGAAGGCCCTTCCCCAGGATTAGAGGTGGCAAGACTAGCTCAGGTTAAAAAAAAGGGGGGGGGGAACCAAAAGGCCAAAGAAAATATTTAGTGAGCCCCTCAGATGCTGGATGAGCAAGAGAGAAAGTAGGCTAAGATTTCTGCTGAAAACCAGTGCAATTTGGAGTCCTTGCAAAACACCTAGGAGTCCTGGGAGGCTGAAGCGAGTCACGGGTCAAGTGAGAACAGAGTTGAGGCAGGTGGTCAGGACTGAAGTTCTTAGGCTTCTTTTAGGAGGCCTCTCTGTCTGGGACAGCCCACACAATAGCATCCCCAGTCCTCCACAGATGTTTGCCTTGCCAAGATCCTCCACGTTCTGTCCATAGTCTCCCCTACCCCCATTTTGTTCCAGCTTAGCATTTTAAGGCAGATTCTTGTCACCTTAAGGAGCTCTGGTGGTCTAGTGGTAAGGAGCAGTGCTGTGAGCCCAAAGGTACATGGTTCAAATCCATCAGCTGCTCTGAGGAGGCAGGCAATCTCCTTCCATGCAATTTACTACCTCTGAAAACCCACTGGAATGCAAGAGGGTCAGCTATGAGCTGGCTTCAACTTGACAGCACATAACAACAACCTGTCACCCTCAGTGTGGGTCCTGGAGGTTGCCTTATTTTCCTTCTCTAGCTGATCAGTTGCTGTTGTGTGGGTAAGAAACTGTGCTGCAATCCCAAAGGCATGTGGTTCAAATCCACCAGCTGCTCCATGGGCGAAGAATGGGCAATCTCCTCCTGTGTGATTTATTGCTTCTGAAAACCCCCTAGAGGGTCAGCTTTGAGTGGGTCCCAACTTGATGGAACATAACAACAGCAGCGGATCAATTTCAAAGAACAATGGAAAGATCCACATCCTTAAATCTTCCTTTTCTCCAACCTCCAGGGCTGTGGATTCCTCTCCTGGGCATAACCAGCGAGCCTTCTGCACACAGGCTTTGTCTGGTCTTCCTTTTCTACAAGACCCCACTTAGGGCATCTGTGAATCCTTCTACATTCTCCTCTGGGACCAATTCCTGGCCTCTCTCTTCTAAATACATTGACAATTGTGATTGGAGTGTTTTTAGCATCGAAGGAGGGAGTGGAACAGCTTCTTGGAGAAAATCATCAGAATTTTTTGTCCTTGTTGTTATGTGCCAGAGTCGCCTGTGACTCATATTGACCCTATGTGTCTATGAAATCTGCCCCATTATGAGCCAGTCTCCCTGTCTCTGACACACCTACCCCCATTACTGTATCAGTTCATCTCATCCAGGGTCTTCCTCTCTTTCACTGTCCCTCCACCCTTGCAAGCATGATGTCTTTCTCCAAGGACTGGTTCCTCCTCGCCACATGCTTTAAGTATGTGAGGCAGAGCTTCAAAATTCTTGCCTCCAAAAGAGCAGCCTGGTTTTATCCTTCTCAGGCACAATTCATAACTGTCAAGTCAGCCCACACATAGCTGACCTTCCATTGAATTTCTGAAGCTGTAAATCGCACAGGAGATTGTCTCTCTTTTTCCAAGGGAGTTGATGGTGGATTCAAACCCCCAGAGAGGCATGCCTTTGAGTTAGCAGCAAAACTCCCTGTGGACTAAGATAGACCAATACAATGCTGCTTTCAACAGCTTCCCCAAACATTATCAGTCTATGGATTACCAGGAAATAGCTCATGCCAAGAGGAGAGATTTTTAAGGTACTGCTGGATAATGAAGCTCATGGAACCCCATGGAGGGCTTGGAGTCAAAGCCAGAAAATATTGCATCTCTCCAGGGCCAGGGCCCTTAGTCATGTTGAAGCTGGGATGGTACTAAATTGTGGGTACATCTGGGGTGGGAGGCAGGACTTTGCGCTCAGGCCAGAAGATCAAAGAGGGTAGCAGAACTCAGGACTGAATGTCAGGGCTACCGGCAACCAAGGCAGATCCAAGCATATTGCTCCAGCTGGGACGGCTCTAGATGACATGCCAGACACTCCTTGACAAGTGAAATGGCAGTGGTATCTTTTGGTGCTGTGCAAAAAAACCCCCACCAAAACAAAACCCATTCTACCAGTCAAGACAATTTCATGTACTGGAACCAAACCACCCAAGTCTGGCTGATGCTGAAATTCTTGGTGGAATTCCATCCAGGAGGGAAGCCTCAGGTGTGGCAGTTCCACATTTTGGGACACTGTGTTCCTCCACTCAAGTGTGTGTGTGTGTGTGTGTGTGAGAGAGAGAGAGAGAGAGAGAAAGGGAAAGGGAAAGAGAGAAAGACAGAGTGAGGGAAAGAAGAGATTGATTCTCCAGGCTGTAGCAGTGTTAATCCATGAAAGCTTCCATTCTGTGTCCTGGAAAGGGTCCCCCAGAAAGAGGCTGTGAGTGTACTGTCCCAGAGCTGAAGGAAAATGGGGAGCAGTGAATAAAGTGGGCTGAATAAAGTGTCAGGACAGACAGACACCCAGGAAGGGAACCAAAAGATCATGCCCTCTGGTGGGACTCAGGACCTGAAATTTCATCCCAGACCAGAAACGTAGGAATGAGGCCCAATATCCCAAAGCCAGAAAGAGCAGTATCTAGGACTCAGGAAGACCAGGCAGGTGACCAGAGCATTCTGTGACCAGAGCAGTGGCAAACGCAAGACAGGAGATGCGAAGCTGTAGGCAAAGCAACATGAAGCTCCTCCCTGCAAAGCTGCATTCATTGCTCTAGTTGGTCATGCTCACCCAGAATCTGATGGACTTCCCCTCTTACAAAAGATGGAGTTCTCAAAAAAAATACTAAAAAAAAAAACCCAACAAAAGATGGGGTTCTCAAGGGAGCTGCGACAGGGTCACCTTTCGGTGGACTTGGGAGAAGGTTCTGTCACAATATGGTACGAGATTCTCCCTGGACTCGCCGTCATGGTGGTGTGTTTGTTCATTCCGGGAGTAGCCACCGCGAACATCCAAAAGTTCGCCAACGGTGGCAAGGAGAAAAGGGTTGCTCATTTTCCATACCAGTGGTGTTTGATGGAAAGAGATAGGAGGATCTCTGGGGTGAATCGCTATTATGTATCAAAGGGTTTGGAGAACATTGACTAAAGAAGCATTCTTCCTGTTAGTGAAAAAACAACACAGTCACCTAGCACTACTATAGAAGTCTGTGTTATGTAATGCTTACTAAAAATAAAACTACCAAGAAAAGGAAAAAAAAAAGATGGGGTTCTCCTTGCAAGTGAGCAGAGAGATACACAGCACACCCCCCCTCCAGTCCAGTGCTTTACACACAGCTGTTGTGTGTCCTCTAGTTGGAACCGACCCACAGCGAACTCCCTCAACTCCCAGCCGGTTTCCAGAGGCAGCCAATCACATGGAAGGAGACTGTCCGTCATTCTCCCTTGAAGCAGCGGGTGGATTTGAACTGCGGGCCTTTGGGATCATATCACAGCTTCTTACCACTAGGCTCTGGTACTTTATAAATGTCTGCTGACTAGTTTGGGTCAGAGAAAAGAGAGAAAGACCCTCAATAAGATGGGTTGGCACAGTGCCTATAACAATGGGCTTGAGCCTATCAGAGATGGTGAGGAACGCCCAGGAGGAGGCAGGCGCTGATCTGTTGTTCAGAGAGTTGTGATGAGTCCTAGTCGACTCGAGGGCACCTAACAACAGTGGATTAATTTAACTGAGAATGGCAAATGCACTGTTCTGGAATTTAGCAAAGGCGGGAGGAGCTTGCTAAAATGGTGAAGACATAAAAGTTGTGTTGTGAACTGTCCCTCCCCAAGATGCCAGCATCCACAGTCTGTGTTAGGACTTCAAAGTCATGCACTCTTCCTACGCTTTGAGTCTTCTGCAGAGAGGGCACATTTAGAAGTGAGAATAACCCTAGGAAGGGGATAGTATTAATCTCATTTTGTTGTTGTTAAATACTGTCGCGTCATACCCTCCAGCGGGTTTTCAGAGGCAGTGAAACGCACGGGAGGAGAATGTCCATCCTTCCCTCGCTGAGCAGCTGGTGGATTTGAACCGGGCGTGTTTGCGATTGCAGCGCAGATTCTTACCATTAGGCCACCAGAGTTACCTAATCCAGTTTTACAGAGAGGAAACTGAGGTTCCAGAAGGTAGAATGACCACATAGTTTCTGATTTGGAGAATTAAGTTGCGTCTGACCACAGAGGATTCGTTTTATCTGCCGGCCATGCCTCAGGGAACCGCGGTTCTCGCATTGCTGACCTCTGTTCACGCAACCAGGGCTCCCGGGAGGCGCGGGCCACGGTGGAAACCCGCTTGTCTTGAACCGCTAGTTCCCGAAGAAATCCGGCAGGGGGCGCCAGCCTCCTCCCGAAGCCCAGGCTTAAGCGGGGAAAGCGGCGCGCAGCCGGGTTCGGGCTGCAGTCCTCCCATAAAGTCAGATTCAGAAGCAGGAAAAGACTAGAAGTGGTGTGTGCAATGGGGTCAGCAGATAGGGACAAAGATGCCAGCACTATTCCCGCCCCAGGGTGTGCAGACTAAGGATGGGACTGAGGGTTGGTGCTCAATGGCAGAGGGTGGTCTCACACTGGGAGGGCGGGGCCTGTGTGCGGGCGTGGCCAGGGCTTAGACTCCGCCCCTCAGAGAAGGCGCCAGAAGCCCACCCCTCCGGGAAGGCTGCAGCGGGGGTGAAGTCCGTCCTGCTCCCCGAGCCTCTACCCCCATCGCCACCCCCCCACGGGCGGGGACACTCACTGGCAAAAGGCGAGGTGGCCGTGGAGCCATTGAGGAAGCTAGGGGACCCGGGCACGCCGAGGCCGGCCACGCCGGGCGCCCCGTAGCCGCCGAGGCCAGCCCCGAGGCCGCCGCCGTAGCCGCTCTGCTGCGAGCTGGGGCTGGGCGCGAACCCGTGCGGCGAGGCGCTGCTGCAGCTGCGCGCGTAGCCTGCGAGAGAGAGCGGCGGTCAGCCGAGCCGTGCCCGCGGGCAAGGGGCGCCCCAGGGCAGTGGGGAGGGGCGGCGGGACGCACCCGGCTCCGGCCCGGACGTGGCGTCCCCGACGGCGATGGCCAGCGGGCTGCTGAAAGCGTTGATGCCCACGACGGCGGGGTGCGCGTGGCTCGGCGCTAGGGGCCCGAGGGGCGCGGGGGCCCGCGGCGCGCTGTACAGAGCCTCGGCCACGTCGGCCGCGCGCTTCAGGAGGAGCTCCTGCGAAGACAAGAGCAGGGCAAGGACCCAGCGGGCGCCAGGTCTGCGCGCCCCGGGCCGGGGAGCATCCCGGGCCGGGCGGCGCGGGGAGGCGGAGCGGGGCGCCATACCTGGTTACTGCTGGGCACTCCGTACAGGGCCTCCGCCAGGTCAGCCGCCCGCTTCAGCAGCACCTCCTGGGGGCAGGGAGGGGACAGCTGGACAGAGGCACAGCCCCTGCGCGGGGCAGAGGGTCGGGAGCCCCCCTCACCTCCTCCGCCCCTGGACACCCTTACTTCTGCTCCGCTGTGCCCTCTGGAGTACCTTGGGTAGCCTCTCGGGGTCTCCGGGGTGTCTAGGAATGACTTTCTGTAGCCTCTGGAATCCATAGTCAATGGTGGGCTCATTCAAGGCTGGGGAGATAGGCAGTGTTTGCAGGATGCTCCCTCCCAGCCAGTTCCCAGCCCTGGGTGTATATCTCCTTTTCTCCTACAACCAGCCCTAAACGCCCCAAAACTTCCACGGGGCGCAGGGTTAACACAGTTTCCTCAGCTCTTCCCTTCATGTCCTGTGCCAGCCTTGAGATTACCACGCATGTAACTGTATGATCTCATTTGTGATTGCTGTTACTTTGTGCCACCGAGTGGGATCCTACTCATAGCTGACCCTCCAGCGAAGTGTAAATCGCACAGGAAGATCCCTATAGATCTCCCATCTTTCTCCTTGTGGAGCAGTTGGTAGATGAAGAATCGTGTGACTTTGGGTTGGCAGAGCAACTCTGGGGCCTTCATTTGTGATTATAAACAACAGAGACAAGCAAATTGTATATACACATTATTAGCTTCTCTATGATGTGCAATCTCCCAGGGGATTTTCTGTCTCTGAAAACCTGCTGGAGGGTCAGCTGTGGGTCAGTTCAGAGAGAGAGGGAGAGAGGGGGAAAGAGAGAGAGAGATTAAAAAAAAAATAGAGAAAAAAGTCCATTGTCTCTTATTTCTCTCAGGGGGACTCTTAGCAGCATTTGATAGAAATTTGCACTAGTCTTAAGGAAGGGAATGAATAGTTCACACACAGGTGTCCCCAGATTCAGCCTGTCTCCACCTCCTGCTTTTTAGCCTGGCACTGATTTAACTCACCAGGCTCATAGCTCTACCTTGTTCAACGCCAATTCCAGATTTAGTGCATTTCCTTTAGTTTTCCCCAAAGTAACATACTTCTGTGTCTTGATACCTGCTCTTCCTTCTCCCTGGATGCCCTTCCTTCCCATCTTTACTTGCTCTCTCTCTCTCTCTCTCTCTCTCTAACATTTAATTGTGGTTTAGATGAAAGTTTACAGATCAAATTCACTTTCGGCTCATCTGTTTATACATAATCTCTCTCTCTCTCTCTCTAACATTTAATTGTGGTTTAGATGAAAGTTTACAGATCAAATTCACTTTCGGCTCATCTGTTTATACATAAGATTGCTTTGTCACATTGTTTGTCATCCCCTCCATATCTCAGTGCTCTCTCAACGTTTACCCTGGGCCCCAGTTTCCAGCCGTCCACCTTCTTTCTGAAGTTTTGCTTTAGGGCGAATGCTGCCCTTTTGGTCTCATAGTTGAATGTTCTGAGGATCCAGATCCTCACAGATGTTACTGGCCACTTTATGTTGTTGTTGTTTGGTGCCATTGAGTCGGCTTGGACTCAGCCCTCAATACATATGACAGAAGGGAATCCTGCCCAGTCCTCACCATCCTCGGCTCTGCTCAGCCCACTGCTGCAGTCACCTACTTCCTTGAGGGTCTTCCTCTCTTTCATTGACTCACTTTCTAAGATATGTTTTCTCAGATGTTCCAACAACTGGACCTTCCTGACAACATGCCCAACAAAGTCTTACCATCCTTGCTTCTAAGGAGCACCCTGGCTACACTCTTCCAAGACAGATTTGTTTGTTTGTTGTTATTTTTTAGTTAATGGCATATGAAATATTCTTCACCAGCAACAGAATTCAAAGGCATCGGCTCTTCTATAATCTTTCTATTCACCATCTGCCTGCCTGCCTTGAAGGGTGTCTAATGGTTATAGTCTCCAGGGTTCCACCAGTCTCTATCAGACCACAAATTCTCATCTTTTTTTTTTCTTAATGCAGTTGAATTTTTTCCCCTTTACTTTTTCCACCCTCTTCACCCTGTCCCAGACCTTCAACTTTATTTGAGTCAGAGCAGCCAGTGTTGACAGCTAGGTAACATCTATTCTTTCTGGCTCCCGGAGACTGTGGTTCATGCCTTGCTAACTTCTATTCACCAATCCTGTCCCAGCTTGGTCTAGTTTAGCCAATGCACCCTCAGGACGGAATTTTCTCTTCCCACCATTCCCTTAGACTCTGTCTTTCCACTACCCTACCCTATGTTCACTCTGTGCCTCCCCCACCTTAGGCTGGAACACACCAAGTCTATGAGGTGTCCCGGGACGGGTTCAATGAATATATGCTGGAAATGGGGAAAAGTGGGGGCTTGGACTGGGCAGGAATGGAGGATTAAGGGAAGTCAAGCGCTGGCCCACTGGCTACAAGAGTTGGGCTAGGAGATTCTATCCCAACTATCCTACTTCCAGGAGTGCTTTTCCCACACGTATTTATGGCTCACCCCAGAACCGTGCAAAGGGTCTGTGTGTATGAAAAAGAGATGGACCTGGAGCTCTGGGAAAACCAAGAAACCAAAGGAAGATTTATAGAGTGGCGAGCACACTTGGTGCAGCTTTGAAACAAACATTCCAAATGAGAGAGAGATGTGGTGGTGATGGTAGAATGCCTTGTGTAGAATGCCACAGAGACATCGTGGGGCAGGGCAAGGATCCAGCACCCTAGGGGAACAGCCCTGGGAGAGAAGGGCAGAGCAAGGAAAGTCCTGGCGATGTGTGGAGAGGTAGGCGGAGCAGCAGCCTGGGGGCGTGGCCATGCAGTGGGCAGAAATCTCAGCGGGCAGCAGGCCATGGTGCACCCAGGGAGGCCCCCTACCACCCGTCTTCTGAACTTCTAACCTGTGTAGACAAAGCGGCCGGGTGCTCCTTTGCAGAACTGCTTGGACTTGTAAGACAGCGTCACCTCCACCACCCCTGGGATGTGCCTCGGGGGCGTCTGCACGCGGATGGCGTGAGGCGTGATGAGCTGCGAGTAGAAAAGGCAGTCTGTGGGTCCCGTCCGGAAAGAGGGGGCCCAGCCCCACCCCAGTCCCCCCTGAAGGCCTGGCTAGAGATGGGCTGGAGTGGCCCACCTCGCTCCACACGAGCACGTTCCCAAACACGACCTGCAGTCCATCGAAGAAGTTGTCCCCGATGACAATGACAGTGGCGCCACCAGTGGTCCAGCCCTCCCCAGGGCTAATGGCCTTGATGCAGGGAGTGGCAGCTGGGAGGCAGAAGAGCCAGATCAGCCTCCACTCCCACTCCCCTCCACACCGAGGCTGGGACTAGGGGATAGCTGTTCCCCTTGGGCTAGGCCTGGGCCCCTCGATCCTGACCTTCTGAGGGGTCCAGGCGGCGCGCCCTGCGGCCGTGCTTGGAGTTATTGTGCACAAACATGTTGTCAGACACGGCCAGCACGTGTCCGTCCACGCTCACTGTCGTGGACACCACCACCTGCGTGGAGAGTGGAGACCAGAGAGGCTGGGGAAGGAGAAGAAGGACAGGGGAGGGGAGACGCCTGGGACGGGACTGTGACCAGGAATGAGTAGCTTGAGGCCAGTGACTGAGGGTGGGATGTATCCAGGGGAGTGAGGGCTTGTGGCAGAGGCTGGAGTGTGGAGAGAGGTAAGGAATGTGGAAAGAGGGCTTCAGCCCCTCAGGACTGACTGGTCACCCTGTCAGGCAGCACCCCCAGGCTGCCCAGAGGAACTGACCAATGGAGCACTAAGAATCAAAAGGCCTAGTAAAAAACACTTGGGCAAAGAGGGGCTATTAGTTTTGCAAACATAGCTCCCAAGGCTGGATCTTGGGGCTCCAAGACACAGAGGCAAGTGGGAATGAGGGTCTGGAGGGGAAGAGCAGAGGTGGGCATCCTAGGGGCACCCCTTCAGCTGGAACCTCCACCCAGTTCTGGGGAGGTGACTGGGCTGTCTTCTTTCCCCCCTCCCCCTGCACTAGGAGGGGTGTGCAGGTTGGGGATGCGCTAAGGGCAGCTGCTCTCTGCTTCACGCTATGCAAATTACCTGGGTCGTTAATCATGTAAAAATGTCACAATTAGCATCTTCTTAAGTGGGGCTCTAATGAAGCCTCCCTTGGCAGCCAGCAGAAAGTTGAGAAGGAGCTGCCCTACCCCCAGCAGGCATCAGGCCTGGGGGCACGAGGCTGGGCAGAGATGCGCCCTGAGGGCCACTGCCTTTGTGTCTGCTGGGCTCGGCTGTACTGAGACAGGGCAGCTTTGCAGGGGGAGCCCCTCCGCAGACCCACCTGGAAGCGGCGCATGTCTCGAGGGTTCCCTGCATTCTTTAGGCAGTTCTGGTTGCACTTGAGGAAGAACTTAAGGAAGAACCTGAAAAAGTGTGGTGTCAATGGGTTTAAGGTTCTGGAAGTTCTGGAAATAGAGGAAGATCCTGTCGCCCCCTACCTTGGCCCCTCCCCAGAGGGTGACTGTCTGCTTGCTGTCACACAGACACCCATCCCATGTTTCAACCCCAGTATAACTCACACATAGGACTACTTCCCGGCATACAGTGTGCAGATCACACAGGGCTTGTTTGTCCAATTAAGTGTATATTCATCAGACATACATGATAGGTATTCTTCATAACGAGTACGTTATTGTTAGGTACCATTGAGTTGACCACGACTCCCAGTGACCCTATGAACAACAGGTCTGAACCTTGCTCTACCATGAACCACCACCATCATCTCCGATATGCTCAAGCCCTTTGTTACAGTCACTGTCAATAAGAAGCTCTGGTGGTCACCTGGACAGTAAACTGTGTGGCTAAACCAAAAGGCAGGTGGTTCAAATCCACTATGTGCTCCTCAGGAGAAAGATGAGTGATTTCCCCCACACTACAATTTATAGCTTCTGAAAACTCAGTGGAGAGTCAGCGATGAGTTGGCTCAGCAATGAAGGTTTTTTGTTTTGTTTTGTTTTTGTCTTTTTTTTTTTTTTTACTTTTTATATGTGTACCGTCAAATCGGATCTGACTGGTACAGGAGGAGATTGTCCCTCCTTCTTCAGCAGAGCATCTGGTGGATTTGAACCCAGTACCTCTGGGATTGCAGTGCACCTTCGTGCCACTAGGCCACCAGGTTTTTTGAATAGATTATTATTGTGTACGGTTGAGTTGGAACCGACTCATAGCTGACTCTGCAATGGATTTTCAGAGGCAGTAAATTGCACAGGAGGAGACTGCCCATCTTTCTCCCATGGAGCAGCTGGTGGATTTGAACCATTTACTTTTGGCTTGGCAACACAATTCCTTACCACTACCAGTTGACATATTTCAGCTAACAGATGCTGCCCTGGATGTGCTCACCAAGTTGTGCCAAGAAACCTGGAGATGCATCTAAATTCCAAAATCAATCTCCATAATAGTCTATGTGTTTCTTACTGCCAAAGGGGCCCTTTAGAGTAGTGAGAGAAGATCTTCACCCTGAAACCCACAGCGTCCCTTTTCAGCAGGAAGTAGCTAAGAGAATA